CCCATGTGTATTTGAAAAACACACCTAATTTCATCCTGAAAATTAGTGATTATGCTTGTGCTTCCTAAATGTGTGAGTAGATGAGTCCTCTCACCTGTCCTGCTGTGGCTGCGGCTTTCCTTCCATGGCAGTGAGAAGGGTCGGGGCAAGCTCACACTGTTTTCCCACCTCTAGACGAGGGTATCCCATTTTAATGTAGATGATGGTGAAATTCTGCACATAAATTTAAACATCATCACTCAAGTAACAGGCACATTTTTAATCACAGGCTAAATCAATCTTGTTTAAAATGCACATTAAATTTCTAAGATCAACAGTAGATTCTTACCGTAACAAAGGAGGCGGCTGCAGGGTCTTGGTACTGTACCAGCAAAGTTTCCACTGGCAGCTGAATCTTAGGTCGGCTTTTTATCCTCTTGTTCAGGTGAACCAACAACTCCATTACCTAGAAGATAAAGGCATAGAAAAGTAGTTTGGCAGTGGTCACAGTACCTGAAACAGATCCATGAAAGGATCCACACTCTTATCAAGCAGATTTGCATCAGGAGCAACTACGTTTATATCAACACAAAACAACAGATTGGAGTAATGTGAGTTTTTTGTTAAGGAGGAGCTGACATTTGAGTGGGAGGTTCTGATGGTGTGATGCTGCCAGTTAATTCATATTTCTAGCAGGCGTAGTAATAAAGCACTGACTCAAGATGAACTTTAACCTCTTTGGGCACAGAGACAGGCAACACAATTCTTACTTTCTTTCGCACACCCTCTTGAACGCTGGAGAGTTTGAGGAGAACAGGAGGTAGGAATTTGGAGATAATGTCCTGTAGCTGTTCGTCTGTCTCTGCATGGCCCAGGCGGAGGAACACACGCTCCAGTTGATCTGTCGAAGCACATGTGACATTTGATCAGCTTTTATGTCTCGTTTTCTGGGTGATATTTATCATAATCCAAGAATAAACACTAAGAATATTATTACTTAAATGCAACAGCACTGCCATGATTCATTTGACAACACTTTTCCATTCAAATGAGGAATTAAGACCCACTGGGTGTATGCAACCACATGCAAAACCAATCTGTGCGACCTTCAGTTTCATATAGGAGGAGAACAATACCCAAGCTTAAAACAGTTTTGCACACATGTAGCTCCAGTTTGGCTGACTAGCTCGTCCTGTCAGCTGTTGTGTTGGTGCAACCATCAGCCAGCCCTGCCTTCTTTCTCCTGGCATGGCTTACCAACTAGCTAGCTTCAACAACTGACAAGACGATCCACGCATTTTCTCGTTTCACTGTTATATCACCAGCTTTTTTTTTTTTTTTACTACCAGAGACACCCTGCGCAACTAATCCTACCTGCCCTGAATCTCCAAGTAGTAAACCTACACCTTAAAACTTTTCAAGAACGGAAATATATTAATAGCTTACGGGATAGTTTCATTTTGACCATGACTGGGCAAACGGCCTCCTAACGCTAGCATTCTAGCTAGCAGCATAGCTCAGTAGCTAGCCATCGTTCCTTCCCTCAGTTTTTTAAACAGAAATAAGCTTTATCGTCATTTCAAAAACGTGCTAATCGTTAGTACGGATAAAATTCATTCTTACGTATGTTTTTGGCAACCACAGACGCGACATTTAATGAGATATTAATCGCCAATAACGCAGAAAGAAACTTACTGAGTTCATCCTGGGCAGCCATGTTTGCAGATAGTCATCAGCGACCCTCCCAGTTAGCCGAGTGTCACTGCAGCCCACAGCAGAGCCACTCCTCAGCAGCTGCTCAGACACCCAGAAACCAATCAATACACAGGCATCAGTCAGAGTCTGCTTTGATACGCATGCATTTTTCATGACAGCATCTAACTATATACGCTTACATGTATAATATACGTGTACAATCCACACTAATGCACTATGTCTGGTAGAGTGACACGATGCTAGCTTTCATTTTCTCTTCTCATGTGGTACTCTGCTGTGTCACATCTATATTAATATTACACTCCTCAAGTTTATTCATACCATTCCATTAAAATTCACAATAGTTACTCAAATAACTAGAAACTGAAAAAAATAATAATATATATATATATATTTAATGCAAAATTATAATTTTGTGAAATAAGACATTACGTTTGAAATGTGGTTGAAAAGAATAATTAAAAAAAATAAAATAAAAACTGTCCCGGAAAAATTAGAGCACTTTGCTGATGAGCAGTGGGCCAAATCAAAATACCTGTCAACAGGTGCAGAAGTCTGATTGAGAGTTACAGAAAACACTTGATTGCAGTGATTGCCTCAAAGGGTTGTTCAGCAAAACATTAGTTTATAGGTCCCATCATGCTTCTGTTCTTTGTTTTTAAAGACAAAATATTTCTGTTGAACCACAATTCAAAAGCAATGTCATGATTTTCAATATTTATTTATTTATTTATTATTACTTTTGGCAATTTCATCTTATTTCAGTGACAGCTGTTTTATTCCTTCTTTAATATTTATGCATATATGTGGAGTTAATTTGCAAAAACAGATAACTCCATTTTTGTAGATTTTCTGAAAATTATTTTTTGTTGTTGTTTGCTTGAGATAATTTCAGTTAAATTGAAGTTGAATGGATTTGACTCAGTAGAAATGACATGACAAAAATAGAGATAACTTAAGTTTGATTGATATTGTCTGCGGTAGATGATGGAAAAGTGGGTTTTCTAAAGGTTTGTGAAGATGGAGTTAACTGTTTTTGCAAATGAAGTCTTCATATGTATACATTTCAACATCACAATCATCCTTGCCTAGATTTTTTTGGGCATATAATGCAGGCCACAATGGAATATGGAATAAACTCTCATTTAATTTCCATCTCTTTATGTATTCTGCGTATGGCTTCTCCTTTCCTGCCTGTTCCTTTGATCTTTTTAATATGCTGCTGTCATGCTAAATTCCCATATCATTTCTTCAAATCTTTACTAAAAAAACAATGTCTGATTATACCGCCTCCCCAGAATGTAGACATTAAACATATATTCTTGGCATTAACACAATCACAATACATGAAGATTTTATTTTTTAATTTGTTTTTAATACAGCAATGCCATACACGCCTAACACACATATGTGAACCACACACTTTATTAATGATTACAATAATTTCTGTATATGTCACTTTCAATCTATCAGTTGAAAGTACACTTGACCTTTTGTGTAATGATACTGGGGGGTTAATAATAAAAGTTCTCAAACAATCCACATTTGCAGCTGTGAAGGTCAATATGTTTTTGATAAGTTGATTTTGATATTGTGTCATTCATTTTAACAGTGTTATTGTTTACTATGTGTCTCAATAGGACTTTTAATGAAAATAAGATCACTCACTGACACATGGTCATGAGTCCCTGGGACACTTAAATAAAACTGACCCAGCATTTCTTGTTTCTATTAAGATTTTTTCCATTGGGATAAATCATCAATCAATGTCCTGAGGGCTTTGAATTTGCACACTTAGATTTGCAGAAACAACATTTTCCCACAATGATATATATATATATATTACAGTCTACTTTCCAAGAAAATCTCAAAATCAAACACTGTCTAGTGTTTCTGATGACTAGAGTTGAAACTGGAGAAGATTAGACACCAAACACTGAGGTTCTTTCACAACCTAGCAACCCAAAAGTAGTTCTTATTAATATTTGAACTGTTCTATAAAGGACTAGTAAAGCCTTTGATTCTGTTTAAGCAATTGTGTACAATTGTTTTAGCTTATGAAATGCATTCTGAACACAAATTTGAGTTTATTTGAAATTTCTCTAAAAAAAAAAAAGATAACTAAGAAGAAGGATCATTTTAAATTTCTTCATATCTTCTAAAAAGATTTATCTGCCTTATGTAACATGTTTAGTTCTACAGGAATTTTCAGTCTTGTTGGAGATGTATTTTTTTAAGTTTGAATTTTTTATAGCCCTGTTGGAATTTGAATTTTTACAGTATTTGGAAAAGTCTTTTTGTTGAATTAAACTTTTCCCATTGCTGTTAAAATACATTTTTTAAATGCATTTTTACTATTTAAATTTTCACAGTCCTATAGGAAATATGTTTCTGTACTATTGGATATGACACTACCGTTGAAATTATGACAAAAATGTGCTTTCATCTATATAAGAATTACCAATATACTCTTCTTACTGAAAATCTAACTTGTTTGATTGAATATACAACATTTTTTTCTATCAATTCTTTCCATTTACAAAATTCGTTAAAGATATTTATACACATTGCAATTATTCTTAAGATTACAAAGTGACAGTATTTTTTTTTTTAAGTGACACAATATGTTTGCGATAAAATACTTAAAAAAAAAAAAAAAAAAAAAAGCAATAAAACAAACACACGAATGGTTTTATACAAAATGAATGTTCTCTCCGTGCAGCGTGGGTTCTCTCCGGGTTCTCCAGCTTCCTCCCACAGTCCAAAAACATGTTGACGTTAATTGGTGATTCTAAATTGTCCGCAGGTGTGAATGTGAGTGTGCTTGGTTGTCTGTCTCTAAGTGTAGCCCTGTGATAGACTGGCGACCTGTCCAGGTGTCCCCTGCCTTCGCCCTAAGTCGGTTGGGATAGGCTCCAGCCCCCCCGCGACTCTAGTGAGGATTAAGCGGTGTATAGAAAATGGATGGATATATATATATATATAACCACAACACACAATGCAAGGGGAGTTAATTTCCTTAGAGGATCTCCAGTGGCCTAAAACTGAGCAAACTGTACAAAGCATAACAGCATCAACACAAACACATGAACTTTGAGGTTTCTGTGCAGTTAAACAGTTACACGCTGGAGAAGCAGGTGCACTTACTACCAACAGCTCTGGCTGCGTTCCAGTCCATTGCTGGTTCGCAGATCTCACAGCGGCTGGATGGTGCAGCGCCGCTCGGCCGTGGCTGTCAGCGGGTGGACTGACGCTCAGCGGAGCCGGAGGATAGGCGGTCTGGGACGCAGCCGCTCTTCAAGGCACGAAGCAGCAGCGGCGGCGGCGGCAGCAGCTGTCATGTGAATCAGCTGGACGAACAAGGAAGGGGATAAACAACAACACGGCTCCGTCTTTCTAAATCGAGGTAAAAAAAAAACAAAAAAAACCCCTGTATACTGTTATGGCACCGACCCGTGGGATACTGGCGAAAATTGTGCACGGTAGCTGGGTTTGAAGCAGTTTACTAGAAAGCGAGCTGCATTTCGTGACTCCTGTGCAGAATTAGCCGAGCTATCAACAGCTAACTGTTAGCGTTGCCTGCCACATAAGTTGGCACACGCTTTAATGGCAGTGGTCGTCTCGCACTGTGTGCCTTGTCATTGTTCGTTTGTCTTTTGTTAAACCTGTACGATTTAGAGAAAGAATAGCATTACAGAAATACCCGACAGACTCGATTTGTACTACACAAAGTCACAAAGGAGGTAGCTACGGGCCTGTGTGCAGCCACCTTGCGAGGGACATTTAAACCCCATTGACTCTTGCAGGGAGAAGTTAGCAAATGTGAAAGCTAGGTTAGCTTGATAGTTGTGCTTTCCCCTTTCTAACTGTTACCCCCAAATGCTGTCGAGTCAAGTCCCATGAGCTCAAATTAAAGTCCAAATGTGCCCGGTGACCCTAAAATCTAAACAGAAGTGAGCTAGTCTGCTGAGCTAGCAAGCTACGCTATTTGTTCAGCCATTACTTGGCATCATAACAAAACGTAGGCTACTTGGCTAGTTAGCTGGGCTGGCAGACAACAAAGATGAGCAAAGCTACAGACGCTCATGCAGTATTAAAATCGAAAGTGCAAATCGGTTGAGATTAAATTGCTTTTGAGTTTTAATAGATTTGTTTTAATAAATAATACGCTGAATATCCGAGATTGAGGTTATCCACTGTTTGACATGATTGATTTATTGTCTGGACAAAGAGTAAGACTGTAATTACATTGTGTTTAAGCATTGCAGCTAATTTTTTATTTTTTTTTCAAAAACTTGCTTTGAGCCTGTAATTGCCTGTTACATAATCAGATCGCATTATCGCTGTAATGTGGATTACAGTGAGGAAATCGTAATAAGGAAATATAAGTTTGAAAATGATTATAGCCTCTATTGGGGTGCAATGTGATCCTTTGTCTGAAGGCACAGTAAAGTCAGAGTTGGGAGTGGGATGGGTGGATGGGACAAATATCCGAAAAGGGTTGTTGGCATCAGCAAGGATCAAAGGATCAAATCGACATTTGTCTATTCTCTACCGCCATCTAGTGGTCAAATTGTACACAAACCAACTGCCCCATAGTCCAGATTTACACCTGTAAAACATGTCTAGCAATAAGTACAGCATCTTCTAATTTGCTTTAGGGTTGATTTAAATTGGCTAAAGAAACACTAAACCAAAATGCCCCTTCTATGAATTAGGCCGACTCCAATCAGTATGAACGATATTCAGTGTATCACTGCAACAAGTGCAAAACAGTGAAACAGCTGATCCAAAGTAGTTAAACATGTTAAATGCTGGAGAGAGGCTTAAGTCTAAAATGAGTACTGGGCACTTGATGGGCAATGATCTGACTTTAACCTGACTTAAATATTAACCACTCAAAAATAATTAAAGAAAATTGGAAGAAAAAAATATAATATGGTATTATGTAAATATGAAAGTTATTGGGAATTTAAAATACATTAAAAAATAAATACCAACCAAAAAGAAATACAATATTTAAATAATCTCTTCATCAACTCTGCAGATGTCAACCATAGTATGCCATCATGCTTCCCAAAATTCATTTTGTCCTTTCTGGTTAGACTATATTTTTGCTAGGAATCATCCTCAATCTATATAACTAATAAAAATAACCAACATGTTTCTAATCAAGTATCTGCCAATATAACAAGTTGATGTTGAAGCACATCTGTGTTGTTTTTTGTCCCAGGTTATAGCTGGTGAGGTGGCAGGATGGCGGGAGCAGAGGTGTTCACCCCTGCAAACCCCACCTGCAAGATAATGACCTTCAGGCCCACCTTGGAAGAGTTCAAGAACTTCAACCAGTACCTGGTTTATATGGAGTCTCAGGGTGCACACCGCGCAGGCCTGGCTAAGGTAGGTCGTAATTTGAATCTTAACTTGGTTGAATATTCAACCACAGTGCAGTTAGCTTGTGAAATTCATCACTGATTCATCATGTGATGGATCAGATAAACAAACTAATGTTGGTGTGTCAGAATTTTCTCTGTTGTGATCTTGCAGTTTGATGACTGTTGCAAAGGCTTATGATACGTCATTTTGGACTTAAGGTGGATTTAGTTAATTAGAAGAAAGATTAGAAACAATAAAATGACATTATGTGTTGTAGCTAAATAATTAATAATTAATTAGTGGCCCTTTTGAACACAGTGTATTAACTACTTATGGTTTATAAAGATGAAATGCTCATCAAAGTTACGTCTTCATACAATGTAACTGGGTTTCTTTCAAGTTTTTAACAACAAATATTCACTCTTCTGTTTGCCCTTCAGGTAATTCCTCCTAAAGGCTGGAAGCCCCGTCGTACCTACGATGATATAGATGATTTGATGATCGATGCCCCCATTCAGCAGATGGTGGCTGGTCAATCAGGGCTTTTCACTCAATACAACATACAGAAGAAGCCTCTTAGTGTGCAGGAGTTCAGGAGATTAGCAAACAGTGACATGTGAGTATCATTGAGTTGTTTTCAGTGCTTTGTTGATTTTATCACTGGGGAAGGAGTGTTCTTACATTCACATTCTGGTGCTGCTGGAGTAAGAATCCAACTAATTTTGGGTACATCACTGGTATATTAGTTGGAAGACTGCCTGAAAGTCTGTTTTGCCAACATTGTATTAGTGCAAAGTTTTGATTTGCAAAAATCTTTGTCAGACATCTTGTAGTGTGCACCCAGCATGACTTCTTGTTTTTTTCTCTATGTTACAGGATTCACTAATATTAAACAAATATACATTTAGAACACAGAATAAGCTATTTAATGGGATTGATTGCCTAGCAAACTGTCTCATAGTAACAGAGTCTTACCGACCAGCAACATTAAAGCATGTGTGTCTTTTGGATGTAAAATGTTGCTGTGTTTTACGCTAAAAAAGTGTCTTCATTGTACAAGTTCACAGATGGTCGTTTCACAGCATCAAATGGAATTTATTTCTCCCTGCAGGTACTGTACACCTCGCTACCTGAATTATGAAGACCTTGAAAGAAAATATTGGAAGAACCTTACGTTTGTCTCCCCAATATATGGTGCTGACGTCAGTGGCAGTCTCTATGACGAGGTAGAATTCACATATGTTGAGCTTTATAAATCAAAGTTTTCTTTTGGTTTTTTTTTTTACATAGAGACTTAAATGAGGACTAGCAAGTCCTTGGTTTAAATACTTACAAAATTAGTGAAGGAGTTTAGATAGTTCAGTAGGAAAACTGTATTAATACAATTTTACCTACACTTTACTTTTTACATTAAAGTGATGAGTTGACTGTGGCTTGGGCAATATTTCTTTATCCGTAGCTTGAGCAGCTGAAGTTCCAATCCAATTGTCAATCCCAAGAAGCACTTTTCAGTAGCAGGACTTTAGAGGCACAGGATACGATACATTTGCCAATTAAATAGAAGCAATATGATAATATTTTCCCACAGATGGACACTGCTTGCTTTGCTCACCAGTTCCACTGTCACAAGGTGGATTTTATCATTTGAAACTACTTTTTTACCTTCCTGCCTCACATTTCACTCCTGTACAATACTACTTGTTAGTCAATGGTCCCAGTGCTTTCATGAAGATTATACTTTACATAGCTGTTACTTTTTAGATAAAAAAAAACCAGTAACTCAGTTCTGACCCTGTTTCTGTTTCTAATTTCCTAGGATGTAGAGGAGTGGAACATTGGCCATTTGAACTCCATCTTGGATGTTATCGAGGAAGACTGTGGTGTCTCCATACAGGGGGTCAACACTCCATATCTGTACTTTGGGATGTGGAAGACCACCTTCTCTTGGCACACGGAAGACATGGACCTGTACAGCATCAATTACCTTCACTTTGGAGAGCCCAAGTCGTGGTGAGTGTGGGACAGTGGGCCAATGCACAAAGAAGCAGTTTAACAACATTATGCAATCTAGTAAAAAAATAATGTTCCCTCAACTCCATTATACCTCAATTTTACAACAAAATGTGTAAGTGCTGTTTTCACAAAAGTATTTGTTAAACAAATTTAGCACTTACTTGCTTAGGACATAATGGAAGTAAGCCATAATGGTTTTTTTTGTGTCATCTTGCTTATTCAGCCTTTTCATCGTTAAGACTTTTATGACAGAGATGTAATTTTATAAGCCAAAGTACAGGTTAAATGAAATTATTTAAAAACCTTGGTTTTGTTGTAAAGTCAGTAGACAGACAGCTAGAATGATACAGGAGTGCTAATTTTGCCATTAGCTATATTTGGCCTCTTAAGTGTTTCTGTGCACGATGTTTATATATGTAAAGTGGTTGGCCATTGACTCTTACCTTCTGATTCAGTATAACTTCAGCGTGTGGTGTTTCAGTCACATCAGGTAAATACAAATGCTGCATAAAGCAGTTCTCAGAATGTTTTGCAGAAGCTCTTTTCAGACAGAACATCGCTGCCTTACTCAGTCTGTTAAAGTGATGGCATTCTGTCATTCAGACATAGGTCACTTTTCATTTTCTTTTACATATGTTTATTTTTCTCACGGCTTTATTCAGACATATCCATGAAAGTGATGGAGAGAGCCGTGGTACACTTACAATATTTGTCATACACATAAGATAATGCATTATTAAAGAAAAGTCTTAATCTTTTGGACTTACTGACCATTCCTGTCTCCATGTCAGAGTTAAATTATACATATGCATCGGCGAAAATGCATGCAACTCCCTTGCTTCGGAGGTGCTCATATGGCTCCTGCTGCAGTATAATGCAGGAAAGACTCTTACAAACAGAAGAGAACAACAAACTAAACTGCAGCACTTTAAACGTTCTGTCAAAACCCATTTTACATATATTTTTGGTGAGTCTCATAAATCTGACATATGACAGCCTCTGCGTTCATTTCAGTGAAGTTGGACATTTGATCTTGTGACAGATGTGAAATTGTAGTGCAAAGTGAATGGCAAAGGTGTTTAGTGATTTTGACACAGACATTGTATATTTTGCTCTCTGATGTTTCTGGACCAATACTTGAGCTAAAGTGCTTTAAAAAAGCCTCCTCAAATTGCTTCATACAACTTGAAGCACATGTACCTATCCAATAATGCATTAGCATGCAGTTCAGAGACTCATGCCATGTTAAAAGTGATACGGAAATGTTGCTTGGTCTTACTTAATAGGTTTTTTTTTTTTTTTTTTT